GAGTTCCTCCGGACCCCCCGCGCCAAGGCTGGGGAGCCCGAGCCCGAGCCAGAGAAGCAGCCGCGCGTGCTCGAGGTCCCTGGGAACCTGGAGCGCCTCGCGGGGCTCCTGGCCTGCGTCCTGGCCTGGCTGTGCCAGAGGGCGCGCACCCTGCAGCTGCTCTGGACTCACCAGGACACGACGCTCTGGCTGGGTGAGCGGGCGGGAGGGCGCTGGCCTGCAGGGGGCGCTGCGGCCCGGACAGTGGTGGGGTGGACGGGGCTCGCTGGAGGAGCTGAGACTGCGTCCAGGATCCAGAGAGTGCACAGCCCAGAGTCCAAAACAGCTACCTTAGTCAGGACAGCCAGCGTCAGAAATTGTAAAAATGCCTGGCTGCCTCTCTGGACAGACATTATGTTGCTCTGCGTTTAAAACAGCATGCTCCGGAGCATTGATACCCCCTTACTTCCATCTTGCTATGAAGTTTTAATACCTAAAATTGTAGGCTTTAAAAAATGTAAGCATTGGACGGTTTTTCTTTCTCCATTTATAGCCCTCGTTTTCTGTAACTTGAGAGAGAACTCAGATGTTGCTGTCTCAGTGGAACCAGTTTTGAGCTGTGCCCTTGGTCAGGTGGGCGCTGATATGAACGGGGATGTGGATGGATGTTTCTATGCAAGTTATGGTTTCCACCATGTGTTGGTTGCTGGTGTCACAGTATGAGAATGAGACCCCATATGTGGCAGGGTGGCAATGTGTGAGGAGTCCTGTGTAGATTTGACTAGCAATATAATTATGACCACAGACACGTCCCGTGGTCAGAATCAACAGGCCTTGGAAACTGTTTTCCAAAATCCAAGCTTCGACATGCTGGGATCTGTCACATAGAAGACAACCGATGAGTATTGAAGTGATGACTGAGCATGGCAGTGTTTCCGGAGCTCAGAAGAGGAAATTCACTTTTCAGAGTAGGAAGTGAGAAAGAGATCAGCAAAATCAGCAAAGACGTTTAGGAATAGGTGGGATTTGAATTGTGACACAGCGCTAAGCTTTGGATGTGTGGAGCTGGTGCCATTAAGTATTGGGGGCTGGCAGGACTGCAGGATGGAAGTCACTAGCATCCCACAATACCAGAGCAGTCACGCTGCAGAGAAGTTTCTGAAAGAGGAGGAAGTAGGAAGCAAGTTGAAAGATCACTTGGGACCAGTCCTGGAGAGCCTAATTCATGGCTGGGTGCAGGGCCTTTGAACCTTGTTTCGTAGGAAGGCACTGATTGGGTTTTCTTTTTTAAAAATGTTTTTAATGAGATGAAATCACATAAACCATTTCAAATTCAGTGGCATTTAGGACACTGAGTGATTTTAAATAGGAGGGCAGCTGACCAGAAGTGTGGTTCACAGTGAACTAGGCAGCAAGTAAATAAGTGGATTGGGGAAGAACTGAGAAAGGAGGCAGAAAAAAATGTTTGGAAAACCACTACTAGAATCTAGGCTACAGTGGTAGGAGGGTAGTAACAGTAGGCATGGAGAGGAGAGGACAGAGTCAGAGTTGATGGAGACAGATTGAAAGTACTAGATAGATGGCCAGGTAGAAAGAGAAAGGAAGGGAAGAGGAAAGAGGAGAAAGGCCATCCAGGAATGAAGATTATGGATGTGAAAATTCTCTTTGTAAAAGTGAAAGTGAAACTTCAAGACTGGATGGGATTGTTAAGGAGGACCAATGTGGAGAGAAAAAAATATATACTTTGGTCATATACTCTGGTAAATATACCTTGGTAAAACTTTAAACTTTAAGAGATGAAAGGAAGGAAAAGCCAGGTTGTGTCATATGTGAGTGTTTAGAAAAATAAAGTAGGAGAGTTGGTATGAGAGAAGATTAGAGAGAAAAATGCAAGAATCTAATCAGATACTGCAGAAAGACTGAGAAGCTTAAAAATTGAGGAAAGCCATTGATTTTTATAACAAAAATGTTGTTGGTCAATTAAGAGAGTTATGGAACCTTGTAAGAAAGAAATAGGGCAAGAATCTTGCCACTGAATGGGAGAGGGAGGGAAGGGCTGTTGGCTCAGGAGAAGTGATTTAGGTTCTAGAGAAGGAGAGACTGAAGGGAAGCGCTCTGGGGAGGGAGTGAGGTGGAGGATCCAAGAAAGGGAAGATTTGAAGGAGCAAAATCATGGAGCATTTGGGATGGGATAATGAAGGCCCAACTTGAGAAGCTCGCTGTGGAAAGAGGAGAGATGCTTTCTCTTCTGAGGTGAGGAACACAAAAGCAAGGATTACTATAGAAAGAAATGTTTGGAGATGTAAAAGTGGATCTAAAAGAAGTTAGGAGCCCTTGTTCCCCTTGGTTTTGTTTTAGTAAAGTGAGAAGTTGGATCATCTGAGGTGAGCTGCAGGAGATGTGAGAGTTGTGAGAGTCAAAGAATTGTTGAGGACCATTGAGAAGATAGATGGGCTTGGTAGCATATTGATCTTTTCTATTTCTTTAAGTATCATATGTAAGACTTTTGCCAGTATACATAATTACCCCAAAAAACCCACTATGTACTAGCATGGTGGAGTGAGACAGTTTCTGGTATTGTATTGTATTTCTTGCAATTAATGAAGCCTTAGAAGAAACATGTTTGGATATTTGAGAGGTTTTAAATTTAATTTCAGAGAGCTTCTGAGTGTATTAGACAGAAAATGTCATCCTGGAGCTGAGAGCACTTGCCTAGCGTGCACCAAGCCTCGAGGTCCCAGCACCATCAAAAATAAAAGAAAAAAATATTTTCTTTGAAGATCCAGTGAGTGGGTAAAGCATTTAAGTTTGCAGGCCACATACTGTTTTTTATTTTTAATCTTCCTTTTTATTTATTGTCATAATCTTTTAAGAACATTAAAGACCGTTTTTATCTTACAGGCAGTGGAATAACAGACCATAGACTATACTTGGCCTATATTGATATAAAACAAGATATTTAACAAGTAAATCTTTTGAGAAGTGTTTGAAGTGAACCAGGGTCAGAAGTCATGTGGGGAAAGAGCTAGAAACTCATAATAGGGAATTTAAGCATTGTAGTTTTTAATTGAATTTGCATTTATTTTGTTAGCCAAGCTGAGTAATTTTTGAACTTTTTAAAAGATTAAAGTTGGTGGTTTTTGAGATGACTCAGGACAACCATAAGGAATACCATTACAAAATCTTAGATGGAAGCAGGACTTCTTAAATAGCTAAGTAAATTCATTTCTCCATGGCAGTGAGGAGAGGATACTTGGAAAATTATCAAAATCAGTGTTTTCAAAGCTCTGGAAATTAACCCAAAGCTAACAGCAACCTAACACTATTAATTCAAGAAAAGATGTGGACCCTCCATAAGAAAAACAGAGCTGCGATGTGTTAACTTGTTCCAGCTCGGTTTCCTCTCCCCAGCCATCCTCCCCAGCATTTCCTCAGCCCTAGCTGTCTTTGGAAACAAGCAGCTTTCAGTGACCTGGTCACATAACTTGCAGCTCTTCATTGAGCCCCTCATGAGGAGGGTGGATCTGTCTCAGGGCTCTGTCCAGCCTTGGGCACAGGGGTCCTGGAGCTCAGGACAGCTGACAGTTCCTCAGGGCTGGAGGTGAAGGCCAGGCTTTCACATGTGCTGCTGAGGAAGAGCTTTGCTGCCTTTAATCATCTTCTGAGGAATGCGAGGGACAGGGTTCCAGAGTGGCTCCCGTAGGCTAGGGTTTTCCTAGAAGAATCTTGCTGAGCATAATATCCATATCTGCTTCTCCTGAAAATTTTACACAAAGAAATAGAGAATAAGGGACAACAGAGAAAAATACTGGAAACAAAAAGCACAGAGACCTCAAAATCACCCCTTGTATCAATCTTACATATGGTCTCAAGGGAGGTACAAGCCCTGGCAGTCTCTTCCTTTGCTGGTGTCCAGTCCCCCTGAGCGTGGGGAGAGGTTAGCAGGCTTCTCAGCATGCTCCCGGCCCTGGAGTTGTCCCTGTGCTCCTAGGACTGAAGCAGTTGGCCACCTGGCCTTGTGTGTGCTCTCTCTAGACAGAAGCAAGTGCATTTGAAATGCTTGGTTTAAAGGAATTTATAAAGCAGTTTCTAATGATTTTCTTTCTTTTTCTCTTTCTCCAGCTGCCTTTGTGGGAATTTTGCATGGGTAAGATTTAGTTTCAGTTTGAAATAATAAAACAATTGGATTAAAATTTGCCACTACAATTTGTATAAAGTAAAACAGTTTCTGGCTATGTGAATAGAACCTCTCTATGTGTACCAGTGTATGCACATGTATTACTTTTTATGTGCTAACCTCACGTGTGAAGCAGCATTTACAAAACAGATGCATTAGGGAAATAGTAACTTATGAATTAAAATACCTTTGCTTTTCCAAAGAATTTACCACTGTATTTTTTGAAATATCTAGCTTTTCTAGTGTATTTTGCAGTTTACTTGATTATCTCTTCATTTTATAGTAATTGTGTGTTAGTGACATAAGTATAAAGCTTTTAGCAGTGCTTGCCAATTGGAAAGCAATAGCAGTGAACAGAAGGTTCCTTCGTTCTGGGGTGAAGCAGAAG